CATTGTCTAAATATATTTACAATCATCTGCTATACGTCAATTAGGAGTTTAAAAACTTAACAGCTGATTAAATCATTTGTTTTTGTTGTATGTTGTCTAAACATTACTGCAAGTCTAGTTACTAGTTGTTAATCCTTAGGTTATGGAACCGGGTTGGCGGTCGTCATTTTGAACAGTTGTTGTAAGTAAAAAAGGCCTCTTGTAAATAAAGAAGGATCATAAGCTATTGTCCAATTGTATTTAATAATTACAACAAAAGTTGAGAAAAAATATTTTAAGAAAGATTAATATAACTTATAATAAACAACAACTTATACTTATATATAAATAATAACGAGAGGTCGTCCAGTGGTCGAAACTCGACCAAAAATATGTAATGTACTAACTTATCTATTTTCACCCCACACTGTAAATAAAACATGTGATTGGAGTTTCTTCCATTTGTTTTGATTTTCTGTTTATATTTCGTTGTTATTTCGTAACCAGCATAGCAACGCATAAGATCCATGTTAATTTTTTCAAATTTTTAAACTCATTTTTTGTGCTTATCTTTGAGCCTATTTAAATTTATAAAGGGGTTCTGCACACCTACAGGAAAATAGCTTTCCAACGGTATGCGTAGATTTTCCCTACGATGCACACGAGCTGAGAAAAAAGGTTTTAAAGAAACATGCTTGCCTATTAATATATAGATAGATAAGATAACTTAATCAGCTGTTATGTTGTAAAACTCCTTATTGACGTATAACAGATGATTGCAAAGATATTTAGACAATGTAAAAGGAGTATTACAATGTAAAAGGAGTATTGTTTAAATGGAGAAACGATAAGAACAACTAAGGTATCATTGAAAACTGCATACAATTTACTAACTTTTTTGTAGCTTTCAATTGTTTTGTAAAGTTTTCGTGAAATTTGGCATCAAATATTTTAAATGGCCTCCACTTTAAAACGAATGATGATTTTTTAGTATACCTAATTTTAAACGAAAATAGATCTTAATAAGATAAACATTTTTGCAAAATCTCAACACTGTATCTCAAACCGTTTAGGAGTTATTATTTCAGTAGTAAAAAGCACATAAATACAAACAAATGGAAAACTATATAGGCACCACACACCCATGTTCCTATAGTGAAATTTGTTTGTCTTTACCTAAGCAGTAACGCTATATACATGTGTCCGGAGAGTCACGGGTCACCCTGCATAACAAACTTATGAACTCGTACAATACATTTTATACATACTAAAATTACGGGATGGTTTTCATATTGAGTAGGGCCTAAGTCCAAAGCCGGTAAAAGTCTTGTCGTAGTGACGTGATGTACAAGAAGCCAATTCGCGCGTCCTACTCCAGGGGACTAGAGCGTCGATCGAGATTGAACCATTTTTCTTGTATTTACTAAATCAATTAAAATGTCTTAATTGATCCCTTTGTACAAGGAAAACTAAACACACTCCTAAATTGGTTACATTGGTAAGGTAGCCAAATAAACAAATTTCTGTCTACAAAATGGATTTTGAATTTGTCTTCAAATGTTTAATCATTTAAGTGTTTTATCAGCATTATCCTATGGGTATACCATGTTGGTAAAAAAATAACAAAAGCAAGGCAGCTATTCTTATGAAAATGAAATACATTAAGCATACTATTACTGTATTTTATTTTCATCAGAATTGCAGATTTGCTTTTGTTATTTTTGTTGTTGTTGTTCTAAACAAATGGTATACCAATTCAGAGGCTGATAAAACAGTTAGTGGTTAAATAATAAAAACATTTGAAGGGGGTGCGAAAGCTGGGTGACTAAGCTCTGTAAATTACTCGTTACGTTCTTCTGTTTCGGTTCATGGATCGCTATTATCACGCTATTATTCATAAATAATTTTGACTCGTTTCAATATAGAAAGAGTAATGAAACTAAGGAATGATTATAGCCTGAGTTGTAGATTTATATATTAACCGAGCCAGATTTATTTATAAATAGTAGCAATGCATGAACCGACACAGAACAACTCCAGAAATGTAGATCATAACACTATCCAAGTGTACTTACATTTGTGTTTGTGCACAAGGAATAACTGTAGTCTTGAAACTATCGAAGGATATTTAAAAGAAACACTTGTATGTATGTCGTACAGTACTTGTCGTCACTGGCTAGTAGATTGTGAACTCGTCTGTGTTGATGAGGTGGTAGCTCAATGATCCCCGGGCTTCTGCAATATTTAAGACTATCTCGAAACTCGTTGACGTGCGCAACATTCATTTAGCCCACATGTAATTCCCTATGATGATATAATGGTATAACTTTATTTTATTTTAATTTTTCTTGAAATACTAGGATTTTTTCAACTGAAAAGCAAATAAGTAAGACATATTTAAGAAATATAGAACACATTTATACGTCAAAAATGTCTTCGCCTACTTAATATAATAGACATTCATCTGCCATTAACCATGGTGCCCTTTTATATTTTACCACAGTACTACTCATGAACAAATTGTAAAAAAGAAAACGCTGTGTTAAGAGCACAATAATAGACAACCGGTTGAGAATACTATTATTTTCTGATGGCAACGGCAGGTTCATCCTGATCAGAGCTAATGCTACAAACACGCGTTTAGAGAAAGCTGCCAAACCCTGCGGAGTCTTATGCGCAATGTCCCCCGTCAATCAATCAAGGAAGACGACGCTCGCATCAGGAAAGAGGTCTAAATACTATGCAGGGTTTCCATAAAACCTTAGAGCTGGTTCCCTAACATTTTGGTAAAAAGTAAAATATTGTAAAAAATGAGAGAGACTCTTTCTTTCAACTGTTTTTAACCAAAGTAAGTGAAAATCTGGAATAATATACCAGATATTTAAGCCATGATACTTGTATAAGGGCAGCTTTTATTAAAGTAGATGTCAATTCACTGTTGGGAGCTGTGGAGTGTTTGGTAATGGCTAAATAAGCGATCAAATATGACCAAATCTAGCAGATCGTGAGGCACGAGTTTGGATGTACAATTTAAACCGTCCTCGGCCTCAGACAACTGGCGTGGTGTGGCTGTATACAAAGGTTGTATTACCATTGGCATGCGATCAATCATTGATACAATACACATTTAGTAAACGATTATCACTCGGAGTTATGTACTGATGTATTATTCAGTAGGGCTGTGGCCACCTACCTCTCGCCACAACAGGCATCTTGTTGTGTACCTGTCTTTGTTTACATTAGCATTACTAAACTGTCATTTGTAAGAATGTGATAAGGAGAAAGCCAGTGGGGTTTCTGCGGAAGAAAAGTTGAATCTTAATACGAATTTACGAACAGAATTATTTATAAATTTAATCTTTAGTGGTTGTTGCGATCGCGGGTTGATTTCACTTTAATCTTTAGCTATTTTGCAATTTGTTAGCTATTTAGTCAATTATAAGTATAAAATATTATATTTCAAAAAATTAATAATAATGTGATGCTTGATTTATGTTAAGTATAAAGTAGGCATGTATACGTGAAAAAACCCATTCATATCATAGAACTAAAAAAAGATTCATTCAAAATGAATGCTATGCTAACGTCGAACATAATGATGTTTATTGTAGAAACATGGTAAGTTATGTATGAGTATATTTGGCGATTCCTTGTCCCAAATATGCATATTGCAAAGTACAGGATGTTTACTGCTAGAATTAGATTAATTATATAATGTGTGACCAGTCTATCACGTCAACGTAATTATTTCGTTTGCTGAGAGTAACCGAGAGTATATCGCTTGATTTTAATACTTTAACATTTTCATAGGTGTATTGTTGGCATAAAGTCAATGATTAACGTATAACAATGAAGTAGATCAAAAGTCTGTAAATTTGTAAAGGTCCAAGATGAAAAAAAATCAAAATGACACTCGTCTATTCTACGAATAATAGAAGTATCGTACCAAAGGTGATCAAAGGTGATGTATCATGTCTGATTTAATAAGAGACCATTATTTAAACAGGCACGATAACATACCATGTTACACAAATTAGATTGGAGGGTTTTTTTAGACAGAACTTTTGATACAATTTTAATTCATACCATTTGATCTTATTTTTTACAGCATCATTTTATATAACTAGGCTTTTCTAATAATCAAAATATAGCGGTATCTTATAAATTCAGAGTTTTGCCAGCGTAACAAGATATTATTAATTAAAGAACATTTGATCTTCGATATATTTTGAATCAATCATGTGAATAGCAAGATCTGTCACTTAATAATCTATTTTGAAGTTTAAGTGCAAACACGCATAAATGTACTGACTGTATTTAAGCTGTGGTAATATGACAAATTTAATTGCGTAAAAAGATTGATGATTTTCATTCTAATATGGAAACCCCCAAAGTGTATCCTTTGGTAGATATTTTAGCAGGGTTACACAATAATTTATTAGCTAGCCCATTCTATCTAAAAATAAAGAACCGGACTATTGTAGCAAAATATTACTACCATATACTTATAACGGCAATTTATGCACTAATTCTGCTTGGTACTTTAATAATTTATTTTCAGATGCATAGTTATACCATAGGAAGTATTGTTATATATTTAGCAAATAAAACTAACTGAACAAAGCAATCATGTTAAACCCTCTGACTGTCTAAAATATTACTATTGATACCACAGTGTTGAATATTTGTAGAGTTTGTGTGTAATGCACCTCTATAATCGTCGACAATATTAAATCGTTTAAATATAATATTTATAAACAATAAATAATTTTAGCTAAGATAAAATAGAAAACGTCTACAGTCACCATCGATTTTAAGCCATAAAGTATTGATATTTCGTAAACATTAACATAATACACTATAACCTAAGAACTCTCCCGTAATCTTGAATACAAAAATGAATAAATAATCAACAAACTTGTAGTATACCCATGTAACAGAAAAACTCAAAAATATTATAGTGCCAGTAACTATGCTTCGTATGGATATACTGTATGACATACATTTAAAAGTAACAATACCTTTGTCTGTGGGATATCCTGTGGCGAACACGAGGATTGTAAGGCACAGAGAGAGCAAACTGAGAACAGACCTCGCCATGACGTGACGAGCGCACCACGCACACTGACTGAAACTGAATCACTCTGCACTCTCACCACCAACCACCACCACTACCACACTACAACACCACCACGGCAAACTGTATACATAGCAAATGTAAAAGGTAAAAACAGAGCAAGAAGCGCACTGATGTACTATTTCAGTTAACTCCAGTGTACGATATTTGGTGTACACAGGACCATGTGCCTCCTGAGAATAAGAGAAGGGTATTAAGGGAGATCATTGATGTTTAAAGAGTCATAGGTGTCTAGCTAGATCAAGGGTATCAAAGGATATGATGTCTAAAGAGTCAAAGGTGTCTAGCGAGATCAAGGGTATTAAGGGAAATCATGTCTAAAGAGTCATAGGTGTCTAGCGAGATCAAGGGTATTAAGGGAGATCATGTCTAAAGAGTCATAGGTGTCTAGCGAGATCAAGGATATCAAGGGAGATCATGTCTAAAGAGTCATAGGTGTCTAGCGAGATCAAGGGTATCAAGGGAGATCATGTCTAAAGAGTCATAGGTGTCTAGCGAGATCAAGGGTATCAAGGGAGATCATGTCTAAAGAGTCATAGGTGTCTAGCGAGATCAAATGTATCAAGGGAGATCGAGTTTAAATGGTGAAGCGATTATGAACATCATTCCTCCACATATCACAAGACCAAGCGTCAGTACTGTAATAAATGTATATAAACTATTTCCCGGCAAGAAAATATTACACTTAATAGAGCAAAACTTTCAGATACTGGAAAGTGGCAATTCTTATGAAAAAGAAAATAGTTCCTCAATTAAGAGAGTGTAATTGTGGATTGTGGTTGTTTGGCAACTAAGGGCCAATGGTCCAGGTATTGGGTAAGTACAGTCACGACTAAGGATAAACAGACTTTCACTGGATGGCACAGGTACAACAACATTGTCGGTCACCCAGAAATAAACATGGACCAGCATATGATGCACCCAAATCTGGAAGAATATAACCATACCAATCAACAAAACAAGGCTTAAAAATAGCGTTAAATAATATAATACTCTTTTACCTGGGAAGTAAAAAATACCCCCGCCACAGCAAACCTGCAGACTGAGCGAATTTCAAGTTGTCTGATTACATTATTACTAAAACATTTCCATATATAAGATACACTTATTCCCAATTTAAAATGCATTAGATTTAACGAGTGCTTACGTTTGCTGCTACGGAGAAGGTAAAAAGTGTTTTTTGACCATAGGTCAACAGTATAGGATGAAATAAATTTGCCAGATTTTATCAACATATATGCATAAACAAGTAAACTACAACAGTTAAAATTTTATCCTTAAGAATAACGTGAGCATTTTAAATTAGGCCTACACTATGTTTTAATTTTCTCCGCGACCGTTAGGCATACAATAGCGCTTCAATATACTAAATTATTTTTTGTAAGCACTACAAAATGGTTTAAAAAGAAATTGCAAATTCTTTAGTTTTTAGGGTGAAAATGGGAAAACGCCATTTTTATCCCATAAAACCCCCCATAAACTGCCATTCCCATGGTCCGATTATGCTGGTTGATATATATGAATTTGAACGGATGGTGTTTTGGCCTCTAGGGACCTAAAAAAAATTATATCGGTCCCGGGTCCAGGTCTTACTATGAGTACTACGGTAATAGCTTATTCCCTATAAGATAAATTCGCTAAAACTGTCAAGAAGACATAACCAGGCTATTTTTTATATTAATCACTATACTTGAAATAACGTTCATGCAAAATAAAATGCCTTGTCCGCAGCAAACCTGTAGACGTAACAAATTTCCATTTGCCTCATTTGATCTTACCAAACACATTTCTTCAAAATGTCAGATTTATTCCTTATCCAAACAAAATAGCTATATGTTTGCTGATACAAGAAGAAAATAAAGCGTGTTTTTTTATCCTTTTAGCTTAGTATGAAGTAAACGAATTGGTCAAATCCTACTTCCTACTAATATTATAAATGAGAAAGTTTGGATGTATGGATGTATGGATGTATGTTTGTGACAAGTGAACGCGAAAAATACTGGTCGGATTGGGCTGAAATTTGGCATGATGATAGCTCACATTCCCGATTAACATATAGGCATATTCTTATTTCAAAAATCCTTTCGGGCTCCGCCCCAGTGGCTCTGGAGTTTCCCATGTTAACCTTATGAGAAATGAAATTATTGAATCTTAACAGCTGTTTCAATTAAACAAGTTGGTTCTGTTCTGTGATGTTCAATAGCATTAAAGTTACAAAAATTACCAACAGGGTGCAGCACTATTATTTCTTTTACATTTATGACAACAGCTAATTTGCAACCAAAAGGTGAGTGAGCGTAGCGAACGAACTTCAACCTGGAGGCGAGTTAGCGTAGCGAACGAGCTAACCTGAAGGCAAGTGAGCGCAGCGAACGAGCTCCAACCTAAAGGTGAGTGAGCGAAGCGAACGAGCTCCAACCTAAAGGTGAGTGAGCGTAGCGAACGAGCTCCAACCTAAAGGTGAGTGAGCGTAGCGAACAAACTTCAACCAGGACGTGATTGAGCCATGCGAACGAGATAATCTTGAAAATTAAGAAGTTAAACGGGGCAAAGCCCGCGGGTTACAGCTAGTATATTATAAATGAGAAAGTTTGGATGTTTGTGACAAGTGAACGCGAAAAATACTGGTCGGATTGGGCTCAAATTTGGCATGATGATAGCTCACATTTCCGATTAACATATAGGCATATTCTTATTTCAAAAATTCTTTCGGGCTCCGCCCCAGTGGCTCTGGAGTTTCCCATGTTAACCTTATGAGAAATGCAATTATTGAATATTAACAGCTGTTTCAATTAAACAAGTTGGTTCTGTTCTATGATGTTCAATAGCATTAAAGTTACAAGGATTACCAACAGGGTGCAGCACTATTATTTCTTTTACATTTATGACAACAGCTAATTTGCAACCAAAAGGTGAGTGAGCGTAGCGAACGAACTTCGACCTGGAGGCGAGTTAGCGTAGCGAACGAGCTAACCTGAAGGCAAGTGAGCGCAGCGAACGAGCTCCAACCTAAAGGTGAGTGAGCGTAGCGAACGAGCTCCAACCTAAAGGTGAGTGAGCGTAGCGAACAAACTTCAACCAGGACGTGATTGAGCCATGCGAACGAGATAATCTTGAAAATTAAGAAGTTAAATGGGGCAAAGCCCGCGGGTTACAGCTAGTTTGTTATAAATGTATTCATAAACAGGCAAACAGTTTACTTTATCATCACAATTTTAATTTAAAATCTTTTCCGTAACCATTCAACAGCTTTTGCAGTGTGATGCATTATTTGTTTTTGAGCACTACAAATTGGTTTGGAATGAAATTGTACAATTTTATGTTTTGAGGGAAAAAATGGGAAATTGAAAATTCAATATCCAACCAGTATAACTAACCCTCCCAAAACAACAACAAAAACAAATAACAACTCGATGATAAAAACTAACCAGTTCACATAAACGTAGATTTACACGTGTGCACAGTACTATATTTAATTTAAATCGGTTGATTTGTACTCAAGTTGTGCTAACGGACATCTTCTATTCTATACTACTAGTGTACCTGTTGCTCGAACTCGAGCAATTTGCGTAGCATTACAGGCGTTATTTAAAACGAATAACAGCGATAATTTTCGGCTTTAGAGATTCGACTCAAAGATTATGGAAATACTCACGATGTACATAACATATCGATATATACTGTAATCAACATTTCTTGTAAATATCTTATCATTTTCCAAAAGCTGATCTTGCTTTATAATGTTTTATTTTATGCAACAGATGTAAAGATCAAAATGTTTCCTCTTCCCGTTGCAAAGCACGGGCACAACTGCTAGTATCATATAAATCCAAACGAATGGTGTTTTTGTTCTCTTGGAACCTCAAAACAAAAACATCTGCCCCAGGTCTTACCATGGGATCTACGGTACTAGCTTTTCCATATACTGGAAATTCGCTTATATAAGAAAGTTTTGAATTCCAAAGACCCACTACCCGAGGATTAAAATGCGTATCGTTTGGCAGAGAAGAACCAGCGGGGATAAGTGTCTTTCTATAAATTACAGTAATGGTTTGAAACCATCTTCTCTACAAATCTTACTGATCATTAAGTAGTAGGCGGTGTTAATTTTACAAATTATAAGGTATAGAACCATATTCAATTTAAGTATTCAGCACAAATTATTAATTATGTTGTATATTCAGCTTAGACAAGAGGTTTGATTACACAACAAATACCTATATGAATATTCTACACGCACAGTATCGAATTCCCACCCACCGTTGACATAACTGACCACTTTCTCTCTCACTCGGATGGCTCTGCCAAGCCGATAAACGGGTATTCTTTACACATCATGATTAGAAAGTAAACTTGCCGAAAACATAAATCATTCTGGCAGAGAAACCAAACTAGGACAAAACAAACAACAAGTCTACGATCGTTGAACCATTAATATAAACCGAATTGATTCCAACCCTTATATAATGTAAACGGATTGAGTTATTAATATAGAGGACAGGGGCCTTAATTAGGTTGACACATAAACATACCGAGTAACGTGTTTGACAATTGTTTCTACTAACCTTGTCGCGTGGAAGTTATTAGCACAAGAGTGATATCTATGTTGGTATTAGTACTCAGCGAACTGTGCATCTATGATGCTTTGGCATGAATGAATAAGTCGCCATAGAATGCTGAACATCTTGATTAAAAATGTTACAAAATCGTTAATACGAATCGTAATGGTCAAGGACAAGCTACAAGATTTTTCAACGGGAGAAGGGTTCTAACATTCACCTTCGTTCCTTCAAAAGTCCATTTCAACCGGTGAACGTCACTTACAAATTGTCCCTTAGAGCAAAATATTAGCAAACTGGTACAAAAACGGAATGGAAATGAGGATCGAACTTTTGTTGCGCAAAGTGTTGGCCAATGTCGTTCGGCGGTAGAGGACAATTAGAACAAGTGATGTGCGAGTGAAAGGGATGTTGCAAGGTGGTGATCAGCGCCACCT